CTGTGGACCACTGTCGTTATGGCACTGTGAACCACTGTCGTCATGGCACTGTGAACCACTGTCGACATGGCACTGAACCATTGTCACTGTAGCTGTTCCAGCACACCAGACACCATGAACCATCCACACAGGTTCCAGTTATCATAACTCTGTTTCTTATAACTGCTAATACAGTAAGCTGCGATAACCTCGATCACCCGTTCCACGGTCATCTTGGCAATATATCACTGTCGGTATACGTGACAACACTGTACTGCAAGAACCGCTTTCACAGGTTCTACTGATGACTTTCCACTTAATTCACTGTTACTAAGCCAGTACTCTCGACTGCCTTGAACCACTAACACTGATTCCATTATTAACTTGACTCTAAGTCACCATCACCACTATTAGGCTAATACATTATACTGCCTTGAACTACTCCTACCGGTTCCACTGTTAACAAGGCAGTTAACCAACGACACTACAGCTCCCTTACCATTAGGTAACCATTAGTCTCTCACCGCCGTGTGTGGCTCCCGAGGGTCTCTCAACCAGATTATATTGGCACATTAGGACGACCGGGAAAGCGGTCTGAGGCTCTCTCACTCAGACACCTCATCATGGACATCACTGCTGGAAGTTCCTCATGAAACAGTTCACGGCTCCGACCGTAGACCTTGCTAAATTCTTTTTCCTTCCCCCGACACCTCACTTGAAACTCAGTGTCCACACCTCGGACGAAACACCACTCGGTTGGTCTTCAAAAACCACGAGTCATTAAAGAAGCCTTGTCACTAATGTTCACATTGATGACGGGTTAAAAAAAATGATCTTCCGAGCGAGAATAACTCTGAGTATGGCTATGCCGTCTGTCAGGCTGTGGGTGACAACTCACCCACAGGTTGGATAATACTACAAAAAAAGTGAGACACATACCTTATATATAATGCTTGTCAGTCGTTGAGCTGCAGTGCGATGAGCTGTGGGGTTTCACTTACCTGTAATGATTCAGAAGTTAAGGTTAGCAAACTTGCACACTTTACTGTATATAGTGTTACCTTGTTATCTCGCATCGCAGTGTAATATAACCAAAGGTTGCGTGGTACAGTATTACTTCAGCAAAGGTCGAGACCTGCTGCTTACCTTATCAGAAGCGATGAGAGGCTGGGTGTAGGAAGACTATAGTCATAGTCACTTGTCCTGCCGGGAGGACGACTCGCACCACACACTGTAATGTAAACAAATAACAGAACTTATCTTCCAATGGAATCACTTACAAACCTGCACAGAAAACGCATAATATTAATAAACAAAGAAACCCTTCAGGTTGTGTTTACATGTTCACCAGCCAATGTTATGCACCAAACTCTACAGTTCACTGCAATATATTACATGTAAACTAATGAACATTTTTGCCATGTCAGAGGAATACAAATAGGCTGCTGTATTAAATCTAAACTGGTAGAAGAATGCTAAATGTCTGGTTGGTCGAGGAAGTGACAAGAGCTAATTATACAATAAAAGTGAATTTCGAGGATGTAGTCTGAAGGGGGAAATGAGAACCAAGAATTGGTTAAAATATGAGCGAAAACTTTTTGTTTTAAAGTTAATGAACTGGAAAGCATCGAAAATTTTATCCGAACTTAACCAAAAAGCGTCTCATTTCCTTGTAAAGGAAATAAGTGTAACAAGCAGATGGGAAAATGCTATTAACAAATTTCAATAATATACCTGGTAGAACTTTATCAAATGAATCTAAGCCCATGATGGTGCAGTGGTAATACATTCTACCCGCGCATCGCGAGCGAGTCACCCAATGTTCATATTCTAGCCCGTCCTCGAAACTAAGACCCAAAAGCAAATCCATGTTCCCGCCAAACCCCCCTGTTTATGAATGAAAAATGGTTTACACACGACTCACAACTGATTTCGTTCAAACACTTCCGGAACAAGTGCTTCACTGGCGAATTTTGTTCGAACCACAAAGCTATAAATGGTTCATCCACATACTAAATTAACCCGTTCTCACATACAAAGATCCAAGCTCGTTAATCCAGCCGCCTAAGCCCTGTTTATGAATAAAAAGCGGTTTACACACGACTCAACTGATAACGTCCGAACACTTCCGGAACAAGGGCTTTGTTCGAACATCCTCTGTTCGAACCTCTATTCTGTAAATGCTTCACCCTCGTTCTTCAAATACAAATAATCGCCAACAAAACCTAAACACCTAACCTAACCTACGCCTAACAATACATTGATTTTTTACGTGTAATATTAATTTATATATATGAGAAGGGAAGGGAACTATCAGGGGAAAGCGCCAAGCCATTACGACTATATAGCACTGGGAAGGGGGGTCAGGATAAGGATTTGGGATGGAATAGGGGGTGGAAAGGAATGGTGCCCAACAACTAGGACGGTCGGGGATTGAACGCCGACCTGCAGGAAGCGAGACCGTCGCTCTACCGTCCAGCCCAAGTGGTTGGGCATTTTTAAATATATGAGAACAAACCAATTTTTAATACACAGTATGTTAAAATTGATGAATGCGTGTGGGGAGGACGGCCGCTGCTTTAACCATCCTAGTGTGAGAACGGGTTGTATAAATACAAATAATCGCCAACAGAACCTAAACACCTAACCTAACCAATGCTCATATATGAACAATATGCTAATATATAATATTAATTTATATGAGAAAATTCCCGTTTTGAATTAACAGCATGTAAACACTTATAAATACGTCTGTAAGGTCGACCGCTGGATGGAATGGACTCAAATCGAGGACGGGTTGCATATTCTGGCCGGGGAGAAACGACTAGGCGCCAATCCTTAACTGTATGCCTCTATAAACCCAGGAGTGATTGGGTGTTAAACTGTTTGCTAATCTTTATGTCAATATTAACCTGTGTATTAAACTAACGGGAAAGACTTACCATGAACTATAAGAAGGAAACGCTCCAGTAGAGACGTCCAAAGGTCGAGCAGCTTACTGCTGCAATTTCTCTGCCGTCTGCTGCCGGTCACCCCCAGAGCAGCAGACTAGAAGATGGGAAACATTATTAAGAGGCAGGTGAACTGTTTTTAACTCGGAACCTGGATCATAGATGGCGCCGAGGTTCGTCACGTAGCCTCTCCACCCTTGCCTCATGGTTAAGAGGTGGTGTGCAGGATAATCACATCAACTGTGACACTATAGCTCTCTAAATATGTCAGTTGCTTAATTTAGAGACTACTTGTGGTTGGTCTCGAGCTCATTGTTGATGTGACGATGTGCATTGAATTTTGTAACTAGCTCATAGAGACTAACTTGCTTAGCTAAATGAATTTTGGGGTTCAGTCCCTGAGCCCATTATATGCCTCTGTAATCCCTTATACTACCGCCCACAGGATTGGTATGGGGCGCATAATAAATGAACTAAACTGCATTGTTGTTCATTCAGGACAACGACAATCGAGATAGCGTTTTGTGTGTGACGTCACGTCGTCTCAGCTTCAACAGCTATATGACAATATGTAAAATTATCATACGTTATATCGTTTACCTAAAATGTCAATAAACTATTAATCCTAAAAGTAGAGTCATCTCCCTTTTTCACTAATCGACATATATTAATTATTATTCACTGCTCTATACTGTTTTACTTTCGATAGCAGTGTGAGCCCACTACGGGCTCACCATAGCCCGTGCTTCTTGGAACTTTCTTCCGAGTAGCTGAATCTAAAACAACAACAACAGCAGTGTGAATTAGATAAACCGGTGTGTGGTGTTTTTGACCAATGAGACTCGTTGTTACAAAGCGCTTATTCATTCATTATCTAACTCAACAACAACAAACGCGGCGTTGCCATTCTGCACTTTCCGTCAATAACAACAAACGCGGCGTTGCCATTCTGGGACCAGATTCACGAAAGCACTTACTCAAGCACTTACGAACGTGTACATCTTTCCTCAATCTTTGACGGCTTTGGTTACATTTATTAAACAGATTACAAGCATGAAAACTTCCCATTCAACTGTTGTTATTGTTATAAACAGCCTCCTGGTGCTTCGGAGCTCATTAACTGTTTAATAATTGGAAACAAAGCCGCCAAAGATTGTGAAACAATGTACAGGTTCGTAAGTACTTGCATAAGTGCTTTCGTGAATCTGGCCCCCTGGATTTTCCAAGAAACTGAGGGAAGGGGGGGGGGGTGGTAAGGGAATACATTTCCTCGTCTGTACCACAAATGAGAGTAATTGGCAACAGAACCTAAACACCTAACTTAGCTTAATTTAGGCCTAACTATACGCCAAGTTCTAACATATATAATAATGTTAATTTATGCATGAGAAAATTCATGTGCACACTTAGTTGTAATTTATACAATTAAACCGGAAATTTATGATAATATATTTATCTACGACATTTTAGTTGAAGCTAAATTGTAAACTGCATTTGCTTCTCAGTTATCTTATTGGCATAATATTGAACCTGCATATTAAAATGAGAAATACGTCCTGGCAGAGTAACGTAAAACGGTTCGTGAGACACATATAGTGTTTCGGGTTGACTTTGAGTTAGCTCACGAACGGTCCCAGTCCAAAGCGAGTCTAATAAATTGCTTTGGTGCTGGACCTAAGGAGTTATCAGCCTCTATAGCTCATTACCTAAGCGAAGGCCCGGCTGGTTCACAATGTTTATGTACGTTTTGTGAATTATCCGAGTCTGTGTTAGTCCTTATCTTATTGATTTGTTGAGCTGACACGATTCAAAGCTATGATTCGAGACATGCTTTATTCATTCCAGCCTGAACACTCCCTAATTAACACAACCAAAATAACTCTCGAAACCTTTTATATACATAATTATTCATTAAACCCAATGTATAATATAATTAAGTATGTTTGGCCAACATAATGGATGTATGACCAGCCGACAATAATACATTAAACTCTAAAAGATTATACGCATCGTGAAGCAACTGTTTCACGTGTCCGAAGCCCCAACTCCGAACCAATAATCCAGCATTTGGCCAAGAGCGGTCACCCGAGGCGCGTCCCTGCACTGTGTAGTGGCGAATGGCGAAAAAAAAGTTGTGAAATATTTCTGGAAATATTCGTCTCTCCTTGTAGAGTGGAAGCAATAAAAGGTTAGAACACATTTTTAGTGAATGAGTTGATACAATTATTAATAATTAGTAGACATAAGTATACCAAGACTGGGTAATTGCTAGTTCGCCAGGTTACTGATGTTCCCATCTTGTCCTTATGTTATGGGCTTATAATGATGTTATTTTAATATTTTGTATAGTTAATGTTAATTCTTGGCAGCATTGGTTTAAATAGAAGCCGTGTGGAGTTGAGAGACGGTTTTGTCAGTGTTGGCATTAGGGGGTACCAGCAGGAAATAGTTCGACGTTACGGCGTCGTTTAATGTACAAGGACGGGTGGTTGGAACCCATTAACCGATTAGAGTATTTTCTCCGATACGTCATATACTTGCTTCATTATGCTCAATGCCTCTAATTATCTTATGTCGGGTTGTGTGATGGTGTCCACCCCTATATTTCTTTCTTCCCAGCTTAGCAGAGTCATATCTCCGTAGCCTAAGTGTTCTCTGATGTTCAGGGAACATTTTCATGTGTGGGAAAGCGCGGAGCGTGATTAAGCTGTATTACAGACTGTGGGTTGGTTGGTGGTGTTGTCGCTGTCGATCCTTCTCTACGGACAACCCAACCCACAACTCGGTAGAGTGCTTATACCTCCCTAGGAGATCACCCTTGGCGCTTCTGGCTCTTGGAGAGGGGCTCAACGTCACACGTTTAGGGGATGCGGCTCCAACACTTAGCCTTGTTGTCACGTGCACACACCCACTCGAGCCGCTTTGACTCCCCACTCTCTCCGTATGTGATATGATCTCAATCCCCTTTGACTTATTAGTTTTCCGTCCTACCCTGTCCACAGCAGTGGTTCTTGGTTCTTTCTCTCTCTCTCTCCTTCTTTACTACTTCCTGGGAAGCCTCACTAGGACAAGGGCAAACACCAGCAAATTGGGATACATTTACTGGACAAAGCACATACACGATACATTCACACATATAATAATAATGAATCCTATACTCTATAATATCACAATCAGGTTGCACTCCAACACCATCAGAACTCTATTATCAGCTTATCAAGTGGTATCCTATCTCCTGGTTCACCACCTGATACTATCAACCTCAAGTTGATCAAGTCTACATACACTGTTGCACCATCAGCAAGAGAATATATATATATATGTATCTATAAATGTGTACAAAGAAAATCAGCTTTTGAATGCAATAACATATATCAGCATAAATGTTCCTTGCTACACTGCAATGATCAATCGATCACCCTATCAGTCCTAGAACGCATACATCTGTAGGTAATCCAGCCTACGACTGTAACTCTAAACTTCAGTATAAAACACTCCTTGACATAAGAATGCCAACAATCACTCACCTCTCACTGCATCATACACGCTAATGACAACCAAACACTATCAACTCCCTACAAGTAATCCACCAGAATTTCCCTTCCACCTCTGGAAGTTCACTACCCTGATATCTTCAGGTTCTTCCGGGCTTCACTACCAGGATCCTCTGCAGCTCCTCCAGGCTGCTATCATGAAGTTTCCTTGAGCAACTACGGTGCTTCACCCTTCTGCTAGGTTCCTCTACAGCTCTCTTGGCTGCTACACCATGAAGTTTCCTTGAGCAACTATGGTGCTTCTCCACCTCTACAGAAGCACGTGACACTCCTCTTCACTGCTTCTCCTCACAGCTCGAGGTCCTCTGCTTCACTACCTTGGAGTCTCATCAATTACTTCATCTATGCTGGCTTCGAAGTTCTCAGCAACTTCTTCCCCAAAGACAAACCTGCAACCCATCGACACTCCAATAAAATGTTTCCCCTTTAACACATAAACAAAAATATTCACACAATATGTTTGTCTCCAACCTCTATCTGTCCTCTATATACAGTGAGAGTGGACTCCCCCGTTTTGGGCGGGTCCATACTCCACCTCGCCTGGCGGCGGTCTTCACTCGCTGGGAGGGTCTTCCTCCGTCAGGAGCCGGGCTCCCTCAGTCGTCTGTCAGAGCTCAGAGGGGACGGACGTCGCTCCGTGTTCCTCCCTCTTCACTCTCCTATTTCAGGCTTTCTGCCTTATTAAAACATGTCTAACTTATAAATAAACATCCCCACTGTCGCTGGGCACACGACCAACTACAAGCAATCACTATGAACTGGCGTATATCGTGCTTACCACAGATTATCTGGTCGAGGGCGCTCTCCCTCTGACGGCGTCTGGTCAGGGCGCTCCATACAGCCCACGAAAATGCCTCTGAGCAGCTTATTAAACTCTCCTCGCCGTCCAAGACTTGAGACCACAACGTTCTCAGCTCAATTCCACAGCTGGCACGTCTGCACACTTCTCTTCTCTTAGAGATATATCACTAGGGGTTCCCTTCTGACGGGAGCTCAAACGGAGCGCGGCTTTCCCCTGCGATGTCTGGCACTCAAGTGAGGTCAAAGCCACTCCAGAAACAAGCCTCACGCCTCCAGCAAAATGTCTACATCTCCTAGCCAGTCATTCATCTGTTTCCTTACTTACTGCCCATAATCTTAAACTGCTCATTGAATCCACCATACTATTTTTCATATGGGTTATCACCTCAATATTTGCTAGACCTTCTAGTTAGGTCAGGCTTGCTGAATAACTCTCAAGGAGGGAGACTCGTTTCTCCTGTAGGCTGAGATCATAACAGCTGGCTGTAAAATGGCCAGCTAAGTTTGATAATGCAGGGGGGCTTACGCCTTTTGGGGGCATAAGACGGTGCCGAGCCATCATGTTTCCCGCCAAAGGATTGGCCAACCAGGCGTTAAGGCCTGGTTGATCAACGCAGATGTCTGCCTTTCCCCCTCCTGTAGCTGCGCCCGTCTCTGTAATGCTCTTTGGATCTCCTTACCTTAATGATTAACTTTAGTGATTAACTTAAGTGGTTAACTTTAGTGTTTACAGAAACAACTAGAAGTGAACACAGGTCGCTCATTGCTACGAATATGTGTATGTTAAAAGTTCATAATTAAACTATCGCTGTTGCTATTAAGTCGATATTTGACTAATGTTTTGAACATGGCGCTCCTTTACGCACTGTAGTGCTGAGTAAAGGCGTAAATCGCCTCAAACAACGCCCCCCCCAACACAAACAACCCCCCCCCAAGCAACCCGTTCTCGCAAATTCGTAAAGTCAATATTGACTTATTAACTCCGTGCATAGGTGATATACTAAACATAATAGATACCCTTAAAAAAAATCATAGAAAACACCGACCTTACCTAACCTTATTAGTATCTTAAGATAAGCATCTTATTGCTTCGTAATTACAATTATTACTTAACCTATACCTATTATAGGTTAGGTAATAATTGTAATTACGAAGCTATAAGATGCTTATCTTAAGATACTAACAAGGTTAGGTAAGGTCGGTGTTTTCTATGAATCTTTTTAAGGGTATCTATTATGTTAAGTATGTCACCTATGCACATATTTAATAAGTCAATATTGACTTATTAAATTTGCGAGAACGGGTTGCCCCAAGATATGAAATTAAAATGACGTATCGGTCCATCTTGGAGCCTTATCAAGCCGTCACTGGACAAGAGTTGGGAGAAGGACCTTTTTTTTAGTTAAGGCCAAATCAATTAGAATTTTGTATAACTGTGGAACACCCAAATAAAAAAATTCATTGGAAACCAAATGACAATCAACTGTTGCTTCGCCAATCTCCCGTTTTCTAGCAATCACCAAGTTGACAATGTTAAATAGGGATATTAAAATAAGAAAATGTTAAATATTAAAGAAATAGTGCATTAAAATTTTTATTAATACGTATGGAAATGTCTGTTCCTCAAGATTTTTTTTTTAAATTAAGAAACTTTTAAATCTTTGTTTTCCATATTCATTATTAAATCTGTTCCTCTTCATAAATTATATACATAAAAATATTTATGGAAGAATATATATTGTCAATTAACATTAGTATTTCAACGATTTTTTTGATGGTCTATACGATAGTCCTCAAACTCGTATACAGTTTGTATACGTTGTATCGTATACAACGATAGTCAACCCATAAAGCTATTGTCCAAAAAGGAAAATTTACACTTACGGTGTTCGCTTCAGTTGACTTTAGCATTTCGAGCAAAGATTTACAGCCGAAATTTACGGCAACATGCATCACATGACCCGGGACATCCGGAGCCTAAATGGCTTAGTATCCCCTGTTATCTACTATTTTTTATTTACTGCTGACTACTTGTACAACACGAACATTTATGTAATTGGAACGAAATTAAAGGACTGTAAACATTGTTACATAAATTTGAAAGATAGCAAAATAAACAAACTGATAACATTTATTGTCACACGATAGTATGGTTTAAATCCCCTCATAAATTTCGAAAATTACGAAAATTTTAATTGACACCTGAATTTTCACATTTTTATCGTGTTTAAATGTGTCGTTAAGGCAACTCAATCTCATGATGTTCCTCTCGTCTGAAACACTGACATTGTACACGTTGCTAATCAACCTGTGAGCAAAAAATATCAAATAGTTGTGTAAACATGGCCGTTATTCTTGATTAACTAGATCGTATAGAGGGAGTGGAAGGGAGAAGGCAGCGGCGTGCTTTGTTCTCATATCTAGAAAACTACAAGTCATTTCAGAACTTGCTCGCCGTCAAAACATACCTCGATGGCACAAGTTTACGTTAATGTGGATGCGTTTTCCACTCGTCGTAGGAATTAACACAAGTTTTTAATTAAAGTTACGGATTTAATGCATCTCGTGAGTCTGTATTTTTCGTTTTATACAGGTAAGTGCAGAACTCCTGTTAGCAGACTGAGAGCTTTCCTTTCGCCTAGTTCATCCTAAGTCTTACTCACTAATTTCCCTGGAATACGATCCTCCAGTAGTTTAACAACCAGGTACCCCATCACTCCTGGGTGAACAGAGGCATACAGTTAAGGATTGACACCTAGTCAATCCATCTCGGCCAGAATACGAACCTAGGCTGAATCGCCCGTGAAGCGCGTGATAAATGGGTTACCAATGCGCCATCGTGGGCTTCGATTCATTAGATAAAATTTTACCATGTATATTAACGGAAAGTTGTATTAGATTTTTTTTAAGTCTCCTTGTTGCACTTTTTATTTCCTTTACAGGAAAATGAAACGCTTTTTGGTAGGGTTCGGATTAACTGTTCGTCAATTTTTAGTTCACTAACCTTTGTTTTCAAGTCTTTTCCTATATTTTAACCAAATATATTTGTTTTCCTTTTCCCCTTCAGACTGCATCTTCAGAATTAACTTTTGTATAATTAGCTCTTGTCACTTCCTCGACCAACCAGACATTTAGCATTCTTCTACCAGTTTAGATTTAATACAGCAGCCAATTTGTATTCCTCTGACATGGCAAAAATGTTCATTAGTTTACATGTAATATATTGCAGTGAACTGTAGAGTTTGGTGCATAACGTTGGCTGGTGAACATGTAAACACAACCTGAAGGGTTTCTTTGTTTATTAATATTATGCGTTTTCTGTGCAGGTTTGTAAGTGATTCCATTGGAAGATAAGTTCTGTTATTTGTTTACATTACAGTGTGTGGTGCGAGTCGTCCTCCCGGCAGGACAAGTGACTATGACTATAGTCTTCCTACACCCAGCCTCTCATCGCTTCTGATAAGGTAAGCAGCAGGTCTCGACCTTTGCTGAAGTAATACTGTACCACGCAACCTTTGGTTATATTACACTGCGATGCGAGATAACAAGATAACACTATAGACAGTGAAGTGTGCAAGTTTGCTAACCTTAACTTCTGAATCATTACAGGTAAGTGAAACCCCACAGCTCATCGCACTGCAGCTCAACGACTGACAAGCATTATATACAAGGTACGTGTCTCACATTTTTGTAGTACTTTTCTTTATTAAATCATAGACAATATAAAGGTCATATTTACATCAATTTACAGGGAAAATACTACATTTAAATATATTTTATATAATTCTCAGTAAACCAATTTTCCATATTACCGAGTATGAGCCGTAAACCCCAACTGTTATACATGATACTGCCTCGCAAGAACTTGAATTTTTAGTCTACTGAGCAACCCTATCCACTGAGGGTTACTGAGGCTACTGAGCCTGTCTATCCACACAAAAAATATATATAATAAAAATTAGCTCAATTAGTGTATAATTAATTTTCTTGCATTTTGTCAATATAAAACCTTAAAAACCTCATTAAATCTACTCTAATGCTTGGTCAACATAAAGCTTTAGGAGTGTTTGTAATCCAGTTTACAAGAACAACTTTCTGCTTACAGAAATCAAATATATGTATATTATTCTCAGTTTCAGTACATTGGTCACATCTATTGTTGTTCTTAATTCCCAACATCAATAAATTATTATTTGTAGGGAGGGTCTCAGGAATATAGCGATACAATAATTCACGTTGTTTTGGGGCAATAAATTTTAAGATGGTTTGCCCATATTAATCACCAGTTACATTGTGGATTTGCTTCCTCTACACTAGGAACTATATGTGGGAGCAGGACATCAAACACGTGTTTACTGTTTATCATTTAAAAACCTTCCATAATTCAAATCCGCCTGAGAACATCAAATGCACATGAATAAAAGTGAGGTGAAATTAATGCAAGGTCGGCATACTCTGGCATATGTATCAAGGTCAGTATACTCTGGCATATGTATCAAGTAGCTAACGTGTATTTTACAAAAATAATGCTCTAGCGTATTTACATTATTCCTTTGCATTATCTTCTTTCTAAAGGTAGCACATAAGACAACCAATGACTTATGGTATACATTCAGTATTCCTATTCCACCGTCTTTCTTACCTTTACATAGTGTAGTCCGTTTAATTGATGGAATCTACCGTACCATACATATCTAAAAATAGTTAACATTTCCTGGTACACTGTCCTCGGTTAATGGCGGAAAGTTATGTTCACGAAAAATGTTGATACATTCTATTGCCTCCACCTGGCAGGCAGCAGCCAAGTGACCAGGCCGCCCACACTTAAAACAAATTTTCAGTTGTCCGCTGTAGATAAATTTAATATATTGACCCGCTACTGACATGGATGAAGGAATATTACGGTGAAGTTCCATTTTCACTGTTGTACCATTGAAACACCCTTTTCCTGCTCCATAGGTATATTTATTGAAACGAACGTTGTCCACTTTCAAATATTGTTCCAGTATGTGAGTAATAGTTCCATTCGACATTTCAAATGGCGCATCCCTCACAGAAACACATGTAAACGTCTTGCACAAATGAATCACTTGCACAGATCCTTTCCCATTAGGCGGACTGATATTGTCATCATCATACTGGTGACTGGCTGCCGGCGCCAGTCTAGCAGACCACACATGGTTTTATTCTCTAGAAAACGTAAGATTCTGAGCACCCATCAGCTCAAATCATCGCGGTTTTGTGAGGAAGAGCACATCAATACTCAAAGATCCAGAGAATATCTTGCTTGGAAGCAATCAATACCGATTTCGTCTACAATTGATGGACTAACAATGTTGTTAAGCTGCTGTACAGCTGACTGGTATTCTGTGCAACCCAGTACGCAGGGGAGCCAAACTGTCGTACCGCACTCGTCGCCAATGACCGATTTTTTTGTGAGGATCGTATTACTGACCAGGTTATTTAATCCAACCCTGAAGGGCGGGGCGATACCCTGCGGGCATCACCACAAGGGGGCACCTTAGAAGGTGTACTGAGCCTAAACAGGAATGGTAGGCCAAACAGCTCAATTAGGTGTCCCTGATTCCACCTGGAGGAATCATTTTACGACCTCCGTCGGAGGGGAATGAATTTCTCCAGGCCTAGGAGTGTCTCAGGCATTAGGTAGGGCAGTGAGTGAATCGGTCCTCACTACGTAGACGTCATGAGGAAGTCAAAGAGAAAAAGGCAATGGAGGCAGCTTTCAGACGAGGAGGGACAGTGGACTGAGGGGCAGCAGGTACCGAAGAAAACTGCTATCGAGGCTACACCACTTGCTTCTACCAGCATCACAGCAGACATAATGGACCTAGAGAGGACAACATCAGTCACACAACAGCTAGTGTCAGGCAATGCTTCTCTGTCCACAACCCAGCCACAAGACGACAGCATGAGACAGAAGAGGACAGCACCAGTCACATACCAGTCAGTGTCAGACTGCACATCTTCCAAAATTCAAGATAATGCAGACAAACCACTTTCCTGCAGCATATCGAGTAGTAACGGCAATGGAAAAGGAACAACCAGAGATCAAACTTTCCATTTAGTCAACCTGAATGGAGAAATAATGACACCAGGAGACCAACAGACTGCAAATTACTTAGAAGAAGTAAGTCCTTCAAGGGACACCTGTATGCTTGGAAAAGCTGGACCTGTCAGAAAGACGCACACGAGTAGTGCTTTTAGGATACCCAGTCGACTTCTCACTAAATCCAGTACTAGAACACAAGCAAATTCCGAATGCGGAACGATGCCGCACAAAAGTAGACAAAGCAGCGACACGTCAGGTTCTGGTGACCATCATGGGACATGTGCCAGAAACATTCAATCTTGGAAATTGGGGAAAATACCGACAGAGACAATACGTCCAGGAACCCCTGCGCTGCTTCAGGTGTCACAAATACGGCCACCATAAATCACGCTGCACCGGACAGGAGAGATGTGCAGCTTGAGGCACCCAACCAAAGACTGTATATCCAAGAACAAGGCAAAAAAGACCACAACAGCCAAATGTCCAATTTGAGGAGGCAAATATCATGCCTGGAGCACAACCTGTTCTGCATGGAAAGAAAAGGTGCAGACAGCTCAGGCCAGGATAAACGCGCACACCAGTACTACATACACCAATACCAACGTCTGGAACACTCGTGCACAGCCACAGAAGGGACCCACTCTCACAGAACAAAATTTCCCGAATCTATCAACTCCAAATCAGAAAATACACAAAAATGCTACAGAAATACAACAAAAGCAAAAAAGCAAAAAGCAATTACTTTCGGAATCAACACAACATATATACAGTTTTACTGAGGTTCAGCTGAAAAACATTGTAAAAATATGGCAGAGACTATTATCAATTATTGCCTACAGATGACGCAGAACGCCTCACAACAAGACTCAAGAAATCACTTGTGTAATAATGGACAAGATCGTGCAGCAGACCACAGTTACACAAGATATAGACATTATGAGGCAAGATGAAGCACAAGAGGACAAACAACGAGACATGGACATACAGACTACCAACAACAGTCAGTAGTCAAGACACCAGACCATCAACAGCTACAAAAGCAACTGCAAGAAGCAGTGACCACTCAAGATCAACAGAATCATACAATACAAAAGACAGATATATACAGCCAATGCAGTCTGATATGCAACACCACCAACAAAGAAGTATTGAAAAACAGGTTCCAACATGATGCACAGGTTCCAACATGATGCACAGGTTCCAACATGATGCACAGGTTCCAACTGATGCACAGGTTCCAACAACACAAGAAACGGCCACGAGCAATCAATGCAGTCCGATGTGTTATGGTGCCTCCCTCCTATTTCTCCCTAATGCCAGCATTAAGAGTCATATCCACTAACCCTGCAGGTTCCCTGAGATGCAGGGAGTCTTTTGATGTGTGAGGCGACCGAATTGGTTACCTATATATAGATAAATTAGTATTTATAAGTTTGATAGGGAAGGGGGGTTGCGCCCCTTGTACATACAAAATGGCGACCCCCTGATTAAAAGTGCGCCATTTTGTGGACGCGAGCTGAAGTGCGTCAGGGAGCTGAACAGACTTTGGACGCGAGCAGAAGTGCGTCAGAGCTCCAGAGATTGGAGGTTCTGGGAGCCTCACTCAGTAGATTTCAGGCAGCCATCGCAGTCTACCATCGTCGAAGAGAATCAGTGTACTCCGGGGAGCACTGGAAGCCAAGTTATAGTGGGCATAGGAGTGCCAAGAACTTGAAGACATTAGTCGGCGACAGGAGGTGAGCGGCGACTCAGGAGGGTAAGTCTGGTGCCCAGAGTCCCCCACCATCCTCCCCCCTCCTTGGCTGGTACGACGTGCACCGCTGCAGTGATTGGATCACATTTGCTGAGATGCTGGAGGGAAGACACCGTTTCCGGATCCAGGAGAGAACGTCTCGTTGAAGGAGCGTGTGTGTACAATGACAGGCTGTGACCACTGTTTGGACCAGTTTCGGAAAATCTGAACTCTTAAGTAGTGGCACAGTGATGACGCGATTTCTTCACGACACCTGAGGGCCTACAACACGCTACTGGACCACTGAGGAGCGACCTGGGAACCGTGGGACCACACACCATCGGAGGACAGGCATAGTGGACAGGAGTGATTAAAGTAGATCATATTTCCCTCTCAATACCTTCTGCATCCTCGCCTCTGTCTTCAATCGCCTGCTTGCCTGCTCTAGGGTCCTTGGAACAGAACGGAACGGAACCCCTTGATGATTAGGCTAGATAGGCCGGTAGATATACATATACATTATTAGTATGTTTCTTATTATATTAGAATTAGAATAGGCTGTAGGGCAGCCAGTATCTTCTACTGTTTGGAGAAGATAGTGTGTGGACGACGTTAATGGAGCTGCCCCTCTCGAGAGGGTGCGAGCCCCCCCCCCATTTAAATTTGCCCAGCTGACAGAGTTACCAAAGGCTCAAAGCAGTCATAGAATAACAAATGGAAACCATCTCAAGACCTACAACGACTCACATCTTCAGAGACGGATCAGTTGATCAAGGAGGTTGTTCTGCTGGGGCAGCAGTTTACACTAGCAACCATGAAGCTTAACTAGAGCATGAATAGTGGGTGCTCAACATTGCAAACCAAATTGTATGCCCTGAAGGAGGCCACAAACTATACAATTGAGAATAATTTACATGTTATCATTCATACCGACTCTAA